AAGTTATGCTCCAGAAACCACAATTTTTAGTGTAAAGATTATTGTGACCAGACCTTTGACCTTATGACTTATTAATCTACAGGGGTCATGTATTGGACTTAATTGTTCATCCTATAAAACTTAGCAGCACTAGGTTGGTTAATACTTAAGTTATTGAGCGGAAACTTCTTCGTTTTAATGTTTAGTAGCTAATAAAATGTTCAGTCTGTGTTATGAAATGGTATTTTACCGTCATATATATGAATTTCATAAACTTTTAAAAACTACAAATAAGACATTTAAATTTAGTTTCTACTTAACTTTTCCGTTAATATACATTTTAAGATATAACTGTTTATATAAGTTGCGTCCCTTGCTAATGGCGACACGTGTTTTTCTCTCTGCCGAAAACTGTTAATTTATATGCTAAATGGGAATTTCAATTGAGTTATGGAGAGTTCGAATTGGTTGTTTTGTACAACCGAAGAAGTGTGTGAACCGTTTAAATATCTTGCTATTACCGTTTGGATTAAAAAGATGGAAATTATCTTTGAGAATTGCCACGTGTTTACTAACGTTTCTTCTCATTTGTGGAGACATTGAGAGCAACCCTGGACCTCCTAAGACCGAACCGATGGTACACGTCGAAATGCACCAAAACAAGGTAGAAATACGACAAAGGGAACAATTAGTGAACAACAGGATAATTCGCTTAATGGGTCACCACGACCCCAACATGACCCCCCAGGAATTGAAACTCGACAACGGCGTATTTCTTCTTATATTCATACCTCTGCTGATTCTACTCAGATTAACCAGGCGAGTACCCCTGATTTAAATTATGAAAATGAAATTCTCAATTATTTACATTCAATGAAAAAAGATCTCTCATTACAAAACAGTAAAGTTCAGAATGATATCAGTGGTCTAAATAACAAATTAGATAACGTTCTTGATACCGTACATCAACTGAAATCTAGTTATAACGATTTAAAACAGGACAATATAAATTTACATAAACAACTATCTCAACTTCAAGGAAAAATTGACCAACTAGAAAATCAATCAAGAAGAAACAATTTACGATTTAGTGGTATATCAGGTGTAATAAATGAGAAATGGGAATTAACGGAACAAAAACTTAGAGATTTTTTGAGAAATGGGCTTAAATTCGGTAAACAAGCTGATAATTTCGACATTGAAAGAGCACATCGAGTAAAATCAAATAACACGGACGCATGTACTATTATTGCACGCTTTACACGTTATAAAGATACACAAATAATTATGGACAGAGACCCAATATTGGGGTTTAAAGAGTACACTGGATGGGTTCAGCCCTTAGTACAAAAAAATTTATAAGTGACGTATTAAACTAAACAGAAGAACCCTTGGGGTGAAAGAGGAAACCGGAAAACAAAAAAAAAGGTTCTATCAGTACTTCGATACCGAAAAACCCCAGTAAACCCGACCCCTTTTTATAGATACGATGATCACAATGAATGTATTGTTTTTATGGCAACAGACAATGTGGTACACAAACACGTGTTCAATCACAACATGAGCAAGTAAACACCGGGAACGTAAGCCGATTGGTTACAAATCAAGCGGGAAGAAGTGAAACACAACCACGTGACGTATCAGCTGACTTGAGACAGCCAATAACATCAACACGACAAACGTCACAGGATGAGAATCTTTCTGATTCGACGATAGAATAGCAGGGCGGCCAAGGCAAACCAAATAATCACTCACCTGGAACTGTAAACATAAAAATACTATCGTGGAATATCGGCGGATTAAATAAACACTGTGACAATATTGATTTAAAGTGTTTTCTCAGTTCATTTGACATTTTTTTGCTTATGTGAAACTTGGAGTAAATTTAAGGGGGAATATGAAAATTTTGTAAGCTCACATACTCATTTTGATTATGTAAGAAGCATGTTACCAAATGCCAAGCGTAACAGTGGTGGTGTAAGTGTTTTCATAAGCAATATAATCTACAAGTAAAATGGTTTCCTGCGGGAAACATTTTTAATGATATAAAGAGATTTCATTGAACTATTTTCAACACTGTTTGTGTATGTGGGGATAAATAAACGTTTGTATCAGGAATATAGTTGACAATAAGAAGGTCTTTGGAAACTGGTGACCGTTGAAGACCGGAGAAGGTCGAACATAAAACAATTTTTTTAAGAAAATGATTAAATAGGCCTACCATTATATGAATAATTCCGAGCAAACAAAGAATAAAGTAAACACACAAGTTTACGCAGAAAATATCTCTATTTATTATGGCAGATGCCATAACGAATATTTTTATTTTGTAGATTTTCAGTATAAACAAGTTATTGATTGTAAAATTTAAGATAGATTTTAAAGAAACATTGATAATTTTCAAACACATCATTCAATTTTTTCCACCTGAAACGGTAAAATAATTATAGAAAATTAGAAATATCACGTAATTATTTTTTTGTTCTTAATTAGGTGTAATTGTAATTCGGAGGTAAATCCGTAACGTACCGGCACACGGTATTTAGCAAGGTTTGCGAAGAGGTCAATTAACCAATCATGTACGGTTTACAGATCACATGCTCCTCCATGTACCGAAAACAGGTCACGTGCTCCTTCATGCCTCAAAAGTTAAACGCGTACCAATAAAGAGGGCATAGTTCATCATATCTTTTCAGAATTTGAGAATTGTGTTGTTTTGTTGATTAAATTCTCAGAACTTTATCATTGTAACGATATCATTATATATTTTACATACATATCACCTGAAAACTCAGTGTACTATGATAGAATGCTTGAGAAAAATGGCGTTTTACAAATGTATAGTAATATTGAGAAAATTAAGTTTGATTATCCAGAGGTTGACCTATTTTTGGGCGGAGATTTCAATGCTAGGACCCGAGATTTTTTAGATTTCATTCCTAACGATGATATTCATTATGTTTTTGGTAATGTCGATTATGAAGGTAGCTATTTTGAAATTCCACGTCAAAATAAAGATATTATAAGAGGGAATAATTTTGGTAAAGATTTACTAAATTTTTGTTGCATATTTGATGTTCACTTATTAAATGGCAGGTGTCATGGTGATATTAAAGGGGAATATACATGTTATTCTAACGACGGAGTTAGTGTTGTAGATTATATGATTGTTTCAACAAATGTTTTTCAGTATGTTAAATATTTTAAAGTCTTAGATAAAGACGATTCAGACCATTTTCCTATCTGTTGCAATTTAAAATTTAAGATAAAAATACCTGTGCAAGATACACTTTATCAAACAAACACGTGTACTAATATTAATATGATAAACTTCCGCTGGAAAAATAATTATAATGAAATTTTCGTGAAAAGTTTACGAAACCTTTTGCATGAGAAAAATGATACATTAATACAAAAGCTTAACGAAAACATTGATGAGTATATAAATTTATTAACTTCGATTTATCATGAAGCTGGCGAATGTATGAGAATTAAGTTTAAATTTAGTTCTAATCAACCTGTATGGTGGGATGATGAATGTTTTAGATTGAAGAAACGAAAATATCTATTATTACGTCATTTTCGTAACACAAATACACGAACTGATTTGAGATTATATAAAACTAGTCGTAATGAATTTAAAATATGCTGTGATAAAAAGAAATTCGAATACCAAAGTAAAAATAGATATAACTTAGTGAACAGCACTGATGCCATTTCTTTTTGGAAACAATTGAAATCAGCCAAACCACAAAATAATATAACAAGCAATAGCATTTCTTCTAAAGAATGGTATGATTATTTCAATAAACTATTGTATGACGCAAACGCGGTAAAAGTGCCGTCACACGTTAATAACGAACATGTATCTTCTGATGAAATCGCGAATTCACTAAATTTACCTTTTACATTATGTGAAATTGAATCAGTTATTTCTAAACTTGTAAATAATAAAAGTTCTGGATTCGACGGGATTCCTTCTGAATTTTTTTAATATTCACGCCAGGACATCGGGGAACATTTGCTACTGCTGTTTAACACAATTTTAACAACAGGAAATTTTCCAAATACTTGGGGTCAAAGCATTATATGTCCAGTTTACAAATCTGGGTCGTCTTCCTTACCGAACAATTATCGGGGCATTTCTATCACAAATACAATGTATAAAATATTTTCTGGCGTTGTTAATAAAAGGTTATCCCAGCAAACACAAGACGTCATACTGACGTCAGATTTAAGTCAGGTTCTGACGTCGGATGACGGTCGGAAAAACGGTTGGATTTGAAAGTTTTTTTGACGTAATAATCTGACGTCAGGTAGACGTCAGAATCTAACCATTATCTAACCTTTTTCTGACCAAAATCTGACCATTATCTAACCATTTTCCGACCTCAATCTGACCATTTTCCGACCTCAATCTGACCATTTTCCGACCTAAATCTAACCAGTTTCTAACCATTTTCCGACCTCATTCTGACCATTTTCCGACCTAAATATTAACCCTTTTCTGCCCTAAATCTGATCATTTTCTGACCTTCATCTTATCATTCCCCTAATCTTTTTTGTTTCACCACGTCATAAATATTTTCTGGCTAATCCTGATTTGATCGAATTTAATGTAACTCATTCTATTAAGTAACTTTCCCTCAAATGAAATGTATAACAGAAAACTTAAAGCAAAAATATGTTTCATGCTTTTTTAATTTAAAATAAAAGTTGCAATTTTAAGCTGATACATACAATTTTAGTAAATTCTGCAAGGTTAAATAATTTTCATAAATTAAACAAAATATAACATAAAATAAGTTAATTACAAAACAAAAAGTATTACAAAAACAATGACATAAATGAAAATAAGAAAACATGTACAAATATTAAAGAACAAAACAATGTATGCACATTTCTATCAAAGTTTGCCTTATCAAATAAAATAATGAAAATATTATAATTTTAAGAAAAGTTAAAAGATTCTGATAATAATGTTTCAACTAATCAAGCAATTTATGACAGATTTTCAGTACTTTAACTATATTTCTACAGCATTTCTAAAACATTAAGTGCCATTTTGCATATTTTGACCTCCTTTGATAATTGTCAGTAATGTATAAATTGCTGCCTTTTAGTTACTTCACAAAGTTATACTTTTAGATATCCATGAGAATTAGCACGAATTTTGAGGTGTGATGCTTTAAGATATGACCTTCTTTCAGCACCCCTCGTCTGTCCGGAGGATATGTAGCGTTTGTAGCGCCCAATAGCGTGTGTGACATCATTTTCACTGAAAAAAAAATTTACGAAACATGTAAAAATAACAAGCAAAAATGTTTTCATGGTTATCTTAACTTAATGAACAATTTTGCCAACTTTTTATAAGAGAGCTTTAACAAAAATTAAAAGTAAACATAAATACAGAACATTTAAAAAGTCGCTTTTAAACTCCAGTTTAGTATGGATTAAAGTATGTAATAGAATTTACAAAAATCTTACTTTCATATGTTTCTTTTTACATATTCACGTGTTTCCGTCCCTCCGACCTTTGAGAGCATGTCCAACACTTTAACTACCTGAAAAGAAAAGCTAGTATATTCTAACTTATGTATATATTCTACGTTTGAAATAGAACAGTTACGCAAGTCTTAAATATTTCATAGTTTTAAATTAAAGATTTAATGCCGAAATGTCTGGAACCAAAGTTAACGTCTTGGGTTATTTGGGACCGGGACGTTTTGGGTTATTTGGGACCGAAACGTCTTGGTCCGAAATGCTCGAAATCGTACAAATTCATTCTCAATTCTCAGATTTTAACTGACAAAAACATCACAGTTTAAGAAAAATATGAAAACTAAGCATTCTCTTTGGTAGTACTGAAAGGCATATTATAAACTCTTCACAAGCAAAATTTTAACATGTCAATTTTAAAAAGATTTATTATTAGACATTATCGCGAATTTGTGTGACATTTTACTTCAGCTGTTCAAATAATGATAATTAAATTTAAGAGTGCTTGCAATCATGCAATTATTTATCAAATACAAAGTAGAAATAAATCTAAATAAATTGAACTGACCTTTTTGTTCAAGAAAATCTATAATATTCACTTATCAATGCATCCCGATTCCTGACCTACAGCCAAAACGTAACGCCTACGAATTTGAATTTCCATCCACGTGACTTTAGATTCGAATTATAGGTTAATTATGTTTTTTTTTCCCCTTTTTTGTCACTATGATTAAAAGTTAAAGCAAATAAATTAAAACTCTTTTTTTGGATAATAAAAACTACCGCAAAAGATTTAAATTTTCAAAGTTTTAAAGATTTAAAATTGGTTTAAAAAATCTGGGGGCTATAAATTTGATTTCATAACAATAAACACATGGTTTAACTTGCCCAACAGGCCACCTATTAATTTTTTAATTAGGGGTTTCAGGCCCCGGGTCTTTGGGCTGGGATTTTATAAGAAAAATCATTTGTAATCCCAAAAAAACATTAAAAAAATTTTAAAAGATTTCAAAAGCGAAAATATTTAAAGGTTAATTTTTTTTTATTTTTTTACCTACCGTAAAGGGAAACCGGAAACCCAAACCGACGTTAGTACGGGCGTCAAAAAGAAATCTATTTTTCATTGGTATTTTTTAAAGTCAATTTACTCGTATTTTGGTCGCCGACGTCGTGACCAAAATCTAACATTAATCCGACGTTATTTTAACGTCATGTGTTTGCTGGGATATAATTGGGCTGAAGAAAATAATAAAATAGACGAATGTCAGGCAGGTTTCGGGTGTAATTACTCAGCTATTGATAATATTTTTTGTTTACAAACGATAATACAAAAATACTTGTCTAAAAAAGGTGGTCGTTTTTATTGTTTATATGTCGATTTCCGAAACGCTTTTGATAAAATTGACCATTCAAAATTATTTTATTCACTACAGAAAATAGGCATTCATGGTAATTTTTTACAGGTTTTAAAATGTATGTATTCCGATTTAAAGTCTTGTGTGAAAACACAAAACGGTTTAACTGATTTTTTCCCGTGTAACATAGGAACAAGACAGGGAGATAAATCTAGTTCGACTATTTTTATTCTTTTTATCAATGAGTTGTCTATCTTACTTAGACAAAATTGTGGCACAGGAATATTTATTTTTTGATGATATACTTGATATATTATGTCTAATGTTTGCCAATGATGTAGCAAACTGTGCAGTGACTGTATCTAAATTACAACAACAATTAAATGTAATTGACACTTTTTGTTATAATACTGGCATGGAAATCAATCTTGATAAAACAGAAGTAATTGTCTTCCGTAATGGTGGTCCTTTACGTCATTATGAGAAATGGTATTTCCGAGGTAAAAACTTAAATATAACATCTATGTATAAGTATATGGGACTCATTTTCACTCCTCAATTATCATGGACTCATGCTAAGGAAAAAATGGCATCTCAAGCCCAATAGGCAATATTATAGTTAAAATATTATCAGAAACCTTTCGGTCATTTTCAAAGTAATGAATTATTTAACATTTTTGACCATATGATTAAACCAATTTTATGCTATGGATCACAAATTTGGGGTTTTGAATATAGCCAAACTATTGAATATGTGCATAACGATTTTGTCTAAAACATTTATCTGTTAAAAAAACTACAAATACAGCTATGGTTTTAGGGGAATGTGGTAGATTGCCCTTAACTATTTCGTACATGACAAACTGCATACGATATTTTTGTAAACTTCTGATCATGACTTCATCTAGATATCCTAAACAGTGATATTTAATGTTGAAGTCACTAGACGATGTAGGTCGAATATGTTGGGTTACCAAAGTTAAACATGTACTGTTTAGATATGGTTTTGGTTTTGTCTGGATATCTCAAGAAATTGGTGACACGAATATATTCCTTAAACTTTTCAAACACAGACTTATTGATTGTTGTACTCAACAATGGTATGAAAATATAACGAACTCTAGTAGATGTTTTCACTATAATAAATTTAAATCACTTTTAAATGTTGAACGATACTTATTAATAGAAATACCATTTAAACATAAAAAGGCGTTTTGTAATTTTCGTTGCTCCAACCATAAATTAGGTATAGAAATAGGCAGACATAATAATATCCCAAGGGAAGAACGTCTGTGTACAACTTGTAATGATAGTATAGATTGTGAATTCCATGCTTTCTTTATATGTAAAAAATATAAACAAATCCGTGATAAGTATTTATTCAATTGGTATTTTGGCGGAAAAGAACTACATGATTTTTATGTATTAATAGGTACACGTGATATAATCACTTTAAGGAAGCTTATGTTTTATGTTTATGTTTTAATGGATAACATAAACAACTAGTCTTTTTTCGCATTAATAGACATTGTTAAGGTGACGCAACCATATTACTATATTGTTGTATGTATGCTATGTATTTTGGGCCTGAGGCCTTTGAACACAAATATAGTTATTTGAATCTTATTGCTGCAAATAATCCATTTTTCGAAATCATATTTATCGCTGTGTGAATTGCAAAGGAAAAATACATTTTCGTTTCGGACTTTATAATTTCTTTTTATCATCAAACAAATGCCTGAACAACTTAGTCCATTAACAATATCGGTATAATTTTTATACCTCACATTTTATGTGGAGGGACTTTGGTTTGTTGCGTCTTTGATAATTTGTCTGGATGTTTCAATATGAACTTGAACATTTATAATCTTTATATGAAATTAAAAGATATGTACTGATTGAATAGCGGACAGTACAGACCATGATTATACGGCACAGACATACCGGCTGGTGTTGGTCTGCACTGATCACATCTGTAGATGTTGTAACCAACAGGCTAAATACAATTTAATGGAGTATTAACATGGGCTATAGTCGTTATGCATAATTCCATGGGGTAAAAATTGAGTGAGCTATACAAAATATTAAAGAAAAATGTAAGCATCAGGATGAAGCAGATTTAAACATCATTTTAACATGGCAGCTAAAATGAATGCAATGGACTACGCGGTTAAATTAAAGAGGTATTCGATCAGATCGGAAGAAAAAAAAACATTGTTGAGTGCAAATAAAAAAAGATACAAATTGTCATATTTTGTTACGAGTATAAATGAAACTAAGGTAATGTTTAGAATCAATTTAAAACTTCTTCATCTCGTTGACAAAAAACTTAACTCGGTTACCTGTTCTTACATTTTTAACCGGTTTTAAACTTAACCGTACCCGTTTAAACAGATAAACGGGACACTCATACATTGATCTACTGTTCTCGTAAAATAAAATCATATTTCTGATTCTTATTTTCTCTTCATTTTGTCGGGTGGTGACTCATAAATGAATACATTTCAATTTTTTGCAGGCAATAATTACTGTTATCTTCGGCGTTAACATTAAGATGACCATAATTGATTTTGGAATAGGATCTGCGTGGTTTATGACTTCAAATGTCTGCTAAATTATATATTTTCTTTCCTCAACAACTGTTTTGCTACAAACATATTTAGTTTAATAGAAATAGAAATAAGTCGAAATAAGATGTCATGCTTAATATAGTTCTTACTGATTTGTCTTTAATATATACTCATATAAGAATTACTTTATGTAGTTTTTAATCCATTCATTTGTAGTTTGCAATGACGAAATGTTATAAATGTTATAATATGTACAAAAGAACAGCTTCTGATAACGTTTAAGCAATGATAACACATTTTATCAGGATATTAACTTTGTCTTTATTATTCTTTTCAGTAACGCATTGTAAGTACACTTTTTTTATTTCAAGAGATGTCTGGTTTAGGAAAATTTTACATATACAATGTATTTGTTTAAGTGATGTTTGATGAACATTATATATTGCAGAGATTAAAAAATCCATGAAATCAAATGTTCATGTCAATTTTTGTAAATACTGATTTATATGATGTGCCATCAAAATTTACCAATTGGACGGTTTTATAGGAGAGGTTTGTTGAAGGTCTTCTTCTATTTTTTTGTTTCAATACCATACTTACTATATGTATCATTAAGAGCACCGCTAGGCGGATCAATATCTGCCCGAAAGGTTTTTTAGTAAGGATGAAGCATTTGTAAGGCATGGGAGTTAAATTATGTGTTACCTCCTTCAAAAAGTAATCCCCCTTTATACCCGAAGAACCTTCAGATATATAAACAGTTGCTGTTTCCAAAGCACCACCGTCCATTTGTTATCTTGTAAGTAAAAATGCTACAACGAATGGACGGAAAGACGCCAGGGGTGTAAAATAATATAACGCAAATTTTTAGGGCAAATAATTAATGTACTCAATATAAGTGATCATCCTATGAAGTTTTACAGTTGTAAAACTGTAAACAGTATGCAAATCATTTGATATTGACCTTTGACCTTGTGACCCTAATATAGATCTTTTATACAAAATATGCAATCATCTTATGCAGTTTGAACACTGTTAGCCAAACGGAACTTAAGTTATGCTCAAGAAACCACAATTTTCAGTGTAAAAATCATTGTGACCAGACCTTTGGCCTTGTGACCTTAAAATGTATAGGGGTCATGTATTGGACTTAATTGTTCATCCTATGAAATTTAGCAGCACTAGGCTGGTTAATACTTAAGTTATTGAGCGAAAACGTTTTCGTTTTAATGTTAAGTAGCAAATAAAATGTTCAGTATGTGTTATGAACTGGTATTTAATCCCATATATATAAATTTCATACACTTTTAAAAACTACAAATTAGATATTTAAATTTAGTTTCTACTTAAGTTTTCCGTTAATATACATTTTAAGATATAACTGTTAATATTGCTTCAAATAATCTATTTTTCGAAATAATATAAATCGCTGTGTGAATTACAAAGGAAAACTACATTTTCGTTTCGGTTTTATATATATATTTTTTTCATCAAACACATGCTTAAACAACTTAGTCCAATAGCTATATCAGTATAATTTTTATACCTTTGCTGTGTTGCGTCTTAAATAACTTGTCTATGTTTCAATATGAACTAGACCATTTGTCATCTTTATATAAAATTAAAAGATTATGATTAAACGGCACAGACATACCGGCTGGTGTTGGTCTGCATTGATTGCATCTGTAATGTTGTAACTAACAGCTAAATACAATTTTTATTAAATTAATGGAATATTAACATGGGGTTAAGTCGTTATGCATAATTCGATAGG